TATCATTCAGCTAGTATATCATAAAGACGGGGGGAAGACTTTAGTGCATTATTTGAACCTAGACCTGTGTGGCTAAGAGACCAGACTTGTTGTTTAGAGATCAAATTTATTTAATGCTTAACTCAGGACCTAGTTTATGCCGACCAGAAACTCAGTAAGATCTGAAGATTAATGTAAAGAGTTTTTTCCAGCTATCACATCTCAAGCAAACCACCTAGAAGTCTTACCTAGAAAATGTCTCTGTGCTGGCCAATCAGCTACCATTTCTTTGCTCCTTTGTTTGAACTCTATATAATGTGTAACTTACACGTACTTGCTGGAAGTGGGCCACCCCTTATTCGGGTCTCCCCTCTGATGGACAACTTAATAAACCTCTAGACTATTTCAGTTCTGGGTTTTGTTCTCTGCCACATCAATAATGATGTCAGAATTAGGATACATCAAGACCCAATTTGAGGCCAGGTCCCTGGACTCCAAATCCAGTCAATTTTCCTTTGTGCCATACTGTTTTTCTTCCTTGCTATAATTCCAGAAGGATTCTCAAAGGTTGAAGGTGCTAGCAGCATATAGCCTGGAGAAGAAAAGACATAGGGTGGAGCATAACTGTCAAACATTTGAAGGACAATCATGCCAAAGAGAGATGAGACCGATTCTGCTTGGTCCTTTGGTCCAGTTTTTATGGGGTCCTAGCTATGCGGTTCACTTCATTCCTAATTCAACTGACTCACCAAAATTCTCTTCCTCCCCCAACAGCTTGCTTTGCCTACCTCAGCATGACTCTATCTGCATCGCCATTTTTGAGGGGCCCCAACCAGGTTCCTCTCTCTCTCTTTCAGGGTAAAATGAGGGAAAATGGGAGGGTAGCTGCAGAGGAGAAAAATTTGACTCCATGTGAATAAAAGTGTCACCATATAAGTGGAATGGGCTTCCATGGGAGGTAGGGAGCCCATTGAAAGAGAGGCTGTCAGAGGTGGTTGCAGGCCACTTTTCTTCTGGTACTGACTAAATAAGCTGACTTCAGAGGTCCTTCCAGTCTCTGAGCTTCTGTGGTCCTGCAAAAGGCCCTCCTTCTACCAAATTTCTCTCCAAAGCTGAGGAGAACATGCTGCAATTGTTCAGAGAAAATGCATTGTCCCCTGGCTGGCCCTGCCATTACACCCTGAGCTACTGCCTCAGCCACAAAGCACACCCCAGTAAGTCTTGCCTTCTTGCTGTGTTAGTGAGTTTTCCGATTGTTGTTCAAGAGATGAGTGAGTAATAAGTGACAAATTAAATGACTGTGGAAAACATCAGACCGTCACAGGCAGAATTTAAGGGCAGTATTTCAGTGCAGGAACTTTCAGAAAGATTGAAGAAGGATTCTTCAACCCCTTTCCAACAAGCCTCAGATTGGGGCTAGGAATACTTTTCCCTCTTCTCTGCAAGATAGGACAATTCATTCTCATTTAGCCATGTCCCCAAAGTCAAGTGTATTTTTAGGCTACCAAAGTGCATAATCAGACTTTTCCCGAGGGCTCCTAGGTATGGGTTATGTAAGTGGTACCTTGAGAGGGTTGAAACTCAAGAATAATCTTCCTCCCTGCATATCAGACTGCTATACCAGGATTCTTGAGAGCAGCCAAGGGTCAGTAGTTGTGGGATTTGGAAGGAGATGATCTCAGTTCCTTTCAGATGACTCCAACGCTAACAGCAATTGCAGAGGGAAGAGTCTACATTGAAATCATGACCTTCCATTACCAAAAGACAAAAAGAAGACAAAAGCAAATCGTAAATTCAGACTATGAGTGTTTATGCACATGAGCATTGTAAACCCAAGGTTATAGCTTTAAAAGTAGCATGGGGATCTAATAATGCAGGGGCACTAGGCAGAACATCCACTGGACCAAATGAATAACTTCTCTGTTTGTAAATAACAATGCAACCTGTGAAAAACAGGCACCTAAGTGTGGCTAGTTGAAGATGCTCCCCTTTACCTAGACAGCATCTTCTAGTTTCACTGTCTTGTAAATCAATACATTCTACACTTGGACAGTGAGAATTGTTGGGAAATTTGTTCTTTATATTAAGCCAAAATCTTTTTGCAACTTCTGCATGTGGGTCCTGGGCTGTGTAAGAATGGACTGCAGAAAACGAAAGAGTGGATGAGATTGGGGGGGGGGGAGTGGCGCATCACAATGGAGAAAGATGTTTTGCAAGTCTGCTCCTACTGCAAGGAAAGCTAGATGCACAGTGGGTAGAGCACTGAGCCTGGAGTCAGAAAGATTTATCTTCCTGAGTTCAAACCCAACCTCAAATACTTCCTAACTGTGTGACCCTGTGCAAGTCACTTAACCCTGTTTGTCTCAGTTTCCTCATCTGTAAAATGAACTGGAGAAGGAAATAGCAAACCACTCCAGTATCTTTGCCAAGAAAACCCCAATTGGGGTCACAAAGAGTCAGACAGCTGAAACAGCTGAACAACAACAAGGTTCACTCCAGAGATCTTCTCCTTCCTTCCCTTCCCAAGGAAACATCCAATCTCATACAGTCAAGAGACACTTATGAAGTGGTGTTGTGGGGGGATTTGCATTATAGTTGGATGAGGCAGGCCGAAAAAGGTCAAAATCAGGTATTCACTTGGCTGGGAGTAGGCCCACAAGGATCATTGACAAGCAGGCTGGTAGACAAGCCAATGGAAATTAGCAAAGGGAAGAAAGAGCTAGGAGATCAGTGGATACAAGCAGCCCAAGGTCAAGCTCCAAGGAACAGAAGAAGCAATAAGAATCAGGTTGCTTTAAAGACAAAGGAAGGGAGACTGGTCTGAGGCAGCAAAGGGTCATGAACCCAGGTCAAAGAATCTGGGGCAACCAGCTCAAAACAAAAGGACAAGAACACTGGAAACAAGGATGGAGCTTCCTCCCCTTCCCCTTTCCCCATGTCTTCATGTCTGCCAATGCTTTCCAGACCCACAGACACGGCTTTTCAGGGCCAGGTGACATGAATTCATCAAAAGCAGCTGAGGATTCTCTTACAACCTCCTTACTTACCTTAGGTGTCATCTCCCTATTAGTCATTTTTGTTCTGTCATTTCTAGTATAAAGGTCACTCTCCTTTTAAGGGAAAACAGAAAAAAAAGAAAAACATGAGAAATGAGCAGCAAGATCTTATCTATGTTGTTAATAATCATGAACCCATCTACATCAAAGGTCCTCTCCCTTCTTTTTCTCCTAATATAGCTTAAAAAAAAAAGAAAAAACTTTTTGTTCTTCTTAGCTTCCCTCTCCAGCCTCAGCTTATTTTAAGATTTAGAATTCCTCACACTGTTTTTACAGAAATATGCATGCTCTCGTATTCACCCTCAGTGGTGTGGCCCAACTTCCATCTTATGTATAATTTCTGTTTAAAACTAATTTGGGATGTGACAGCTATGCGGAACAATGAGCAGAGACCGGGCCTGGAGTCTGGAGGACCTGAGTCCAAATGTAGCCTCAGATACTTACTAACTCTGTGGCCCTGAGCAAGTCCCCTGATTATCACCCCCCCCAAAAAAAAAAAAGAAAAACCCAAAACACCACAACTACATTGGGTGGGGGAGTACACTGTATATCCACATGATCATCCTTCAGGTAAATCCCATTTTTCCTCAATAACATTGTCTCCCTCTGTTTTCAAAATTTTATCCTTGAGTTTCTCTCATCTACACTGGGCTGTCTTCACCTAAAGTATTTTATTCCATGACATCCTGCCTGTCTTTCCTCTGAACACTTTGAAGTCTACTCTCCCAAAACCTAAAGCACATACAAAACTGGTCGCCCATTTCTTTTCCTTCTCTAAGACAGAGTCATCACTTTCCCACGAAAATTTCCATCATTTCCACCCCAGCAACAAGTTTTTCATTTTTCCCTACTAGTGAGAGTCAGATCCAGAATAGAATTTTCCTTTGCTGGTTTCCCCCCTTTTCAAAGGATGAAATTACCACATTCCTCAAGTTCAATTCCTCACCATCCTCCTACCTCATCTCTTCCTCTCAGAATTCTTCCGAATCCCCCAGAATCCTCTTGCTCTTCAAGCTTTTCTAGACCACTTTTTTAGGGATCTTTTCTATGATTTATCACAGCCCTACCCCATTTTTCATTTATCTATGGACATCTTATGGGCCTAGTAGACTGTAAGTCCTTTGAGGGTGTGGACTGTCTTTTTTCACGTGAGTATCTTCAGCACAGCACACAGGTCTTGCATTGCATATAAAGGAGCGTTGCCTCTGTCTAGATCCAGAAGACCAAGGTTCAAGTCCCATCTCAGCTGCACACATATCATCCATGTGATCTTGGGCAAGTCATTTAACTTCCCTGAATCTCAGTTTTTTCATTATAAAATCAAAAAAGTTGAACTAGATGGTCTCTGAGGTCCTTCCAGGGCTAGATCAATGAACCTATATTTGTTTTAATTGAATTGACATTAAACTAATCTCTTTCTGAGTCACGAGTTCTTTGTATGTTCCTTGCCTGGTGTAAAAACTGACTTTGGAGTGCTGGTGAACCTGGCCCATAGAAGGAGATGAATAGGTGTCTCTCTAGAGTAGAGAAGTAAAGAGCTAGGAAGGCCAGGCCATTCTTAACAAGAATCCAGGGATGTGCAATGGAAAAAATAATGGACTAAAAGTCAAAAGACCTAGGTCCTAGCCCTAGCTCAGCTGTGTGACCTCAGATAAGCCTGCTGCCCCTGCTAGGCCTCAAATTCCTTCTCTAAGAAATGAAGGTATCAGACTATATTGAGTGGTTTTTAACCTGGGGTCAATCAATTTATCTTTTTTAAAAAAATTTTAATAAATCTTCCTGTGTAATTTTATATATTTCATTTATGTAACTAAAAGCAAGATTCTGAGAAAGGGTCCTTCAGCTTCACCAGAATAGCAGAGACCAAAACACACACAAAAAAGATGAAGCTGCCTAGGTCACCAGATGACTTTCCAAGGTCTCTTCTCAGTCTGGAATTTGATGATTCTCTGATTAGGTGACATCATAAAGGTTTCCACACCAATCTCTGCTAGGCAGCAGGTAAGTGGAGCTCAGTGGTAAAACAAAGGAGGTTTTTTTAGGCCCAAGAGAAAAGTTATCTAAATTCTAAATATATCAATTGTTTCTTCATTCATTTCTCTAAACTAGTCAACTCTGGGCCCTAATTATTTTTTTAAAGGGCAACTACATGGCACAGTGGATAGAGAAGTAGGCCTGGAGTCAGGAAAACCTGAGTTCAAATCCAGCCTCAGATATTTACTAGCTATGTGACCCTGGGCAAGTCACTTAGCCGTCTTTGCCTCAGTTTCCTCATATGTAAAATGAGCTAAAGAAGGAAATGGAAAACCACTACAGTATCTTTACCAAGAAAACCCCAAACGTGGTCACAGAAAGTCAGAGAATACTGAACATTTTTTCAAATGAGGAGGGAGTACATGCTGGATATATGGCAATATGACATGGAAATTTACATATGCAGGAATATGAATGTTTAGTTCAGGGGTGGGGAACCTGTGGCCACAGGTTCCCCACCCCTGGTTTAGCTCAAGGAAGAACTAGTCTAGTTTATTTGGAATGCAGAGTGTATAAAGGAGAGTGATTATAAAATAAGGCTAGAAAGGTAGGTTGGACCTAGACTGTGAAGAGCCTTGAATGCCAGTTTGGATTTCATCCTACAGACAATAGGAAGTCACTCAAAGTTTTTGAGCAAGTGAGGAATATATGGTTGAAGCTGTTTCTTAAGAAGATTGTTTTGGTAGTTGTATAGCAAGTAGACTACAGAATATAGAAATGAGAGGCAGGGAGCTCAATCAGAAGCTACTATAATAGTTGAAATGAGATGTTTTGAGGACTAAAATTAGTATCATGTCCCCACAAGTGCAGAGGTGACAGATTCAAGTGATGTTATAAAGAATGAGCAAGATATGGCAACCAATAGAATTTTGGGAAGGGAAGAGTGGTGAGGAGTATTAAGAGTCAAGGACAACTATAAGACAAGACATATGTGCGGCTAGAAGGATGTCTAGAAATAGAAAGTTGGAGGAAGGGATAGCTTTCTGGGGAGAATGATGAGTTTCATTATAAACATGTTGAGTTCGAGACGTTGATGAGACATACAAGTAGAGGTGTCAACAGGCAGCCTGAGATGTGAAAATGGAGTTCTGATAATAAATTAGGGCTGGACTATAGTTTTTAGAGTTACCTACATAGAGATGATTAATTGAACTCAAGTAAAAACAAACATCACTGAGAGTGTAGACCTAGGTTCGGTCCTACTCTGGCTGGGTAACCAGAGGCAAGTTACAACCTCCCTGCTCCTGAGGCAACATCTAAATACCTATTTACAATGTTATACATGTATTTCAAGCCGCAATTGTAGAGAACCAATGAAATTACATACCCTTGACTCAGTGAAATAATTGTTACTACTAGTAATAGTTTAGTATTATTATTGAAGGAAATAGGGGTGTTCAACCTGGAGACTTTGGGGAAACATGATTACTCTCACCATATATCCCAAAGACTAGAATGTGAATGAAAGAACAATTAATGGGATTAATGGGAAAGAAAAAAAGAATCATGGGATGAAAAGACCCCAAAAGAATCATTATTGCAAAATGTTCAATGGGAGTGGGATTTGGGTCGGGGGAGAAGGCAGATTTTACCTGAAGATACAGATCTATCCAGTAATAGAACTTGCTCCTTTATGAGTACTGAGTTACCCATCATTGGAAGGACCTCTAAGGTCCCTCTCAACTTTAACATTCCATGATTCTTTCTAGTTGAAGCTTGTCCAGAGCAAGCCAGGCCAAGATAGTGGAGGCAGAGAGACTGGAAATCACCTCATATAATAAACTGGTTAAAAAAACTCAGGATGTTTAGCCAATCAATCAAACAAGTACCTGCTACATGGAAGACATAGCTATGTGCTGGGTATACAAAGACAAAAATGAAACAATTCTTGTTCTTAGAATCTTCTTGATAGCAAAATTAGGAACAATGCAGAGGAGGAGAAATTACAAGGGATTATATTTCAGGAAGAGGAAGAGAAGAAGAAGAAGAAGAAGAAGAAGAAGAAGAAGAAGAAGAAGAAGAAGAAGAAGAAGAAGAAGAAGAAGAAGAAGAAGAAGAAGAAGGAGAAGAAGGAGAAGGGAGAAGGAGGAGGAGGAGGAGGAGGAGGAGAAGGAGGAGGAAGAGGAGAAGAAAAGGAAGGAGGGAAGGAAGGAAGGAAGGAAGGAAGAAAGGAAAGAAGAAAGAGAGAGAAAGAAAGAAAGAAAGAAAGAAAGAAAGAAAGAAAGAAAGAAAGAAAGAAAGAAAGAAAGAAAGAAAGAAAGAAAGAAAGAAAGAAAGAAAGAAAGAAAGATAGTTGCTACTAATAGGGAAAACTCTCCAGTCATCATGGAGTCTGCTCCTGAAGTCTTTGTAGTTGTTCAAGCAGCGACTGTATGACCACCCATTCTGGATATTGGAGAGAGGATTTCTACCTTGAAGTGGGTTAGACCAGAGGATCTCTAAGGGTCCTTATAGCTCTTAAGATTCTGTGATTTTATTATTCTATGTGACTTTGTCTCACACCACACACACACACACACACACACACACACACACACACACACACACACACATTCTATTCCCAAACACTTTATTTCATATGTATCCATATGCCATACATCCTCCAGCTCCAGATACAATGCTCTTTCCCTATACCCCACACCAATAGCTCATGTTTTCATGGCACCTGCTGGTTCATAAAGCACTTTGCTCACAACAACCCTGTGAGATAATACTGCAAATATTATTATTGCCATTTTATAGATAGACAAACTAAAGCTGAAAGAAGTAAAGGGATTTACTCAAGGTTTAAAAGGATACATTTGGATACATCCAAATTTTGGAGGATGATCTGTGAATTCCATGGAAAGGGTCCTTAGCCTAAACTGTATTTCTTGAGTATAAATGCAGAAACATGACAGCTTTCCTTTACCTCCACGCTTATGTTCAGCCAGGAGATGAACACCTGTCTGAGAGAAAAGTCTGGAAAAAAACAGTGTTGAAAGGAGCCCTCCTCGTCCCTGGAAGCAGAGAGTTGCAGAGCTAATGCTCTGAGATCTTCTGATAGGTAAGAAAATGTTTGAAATAAATCAGACTAGATTTAGATTTGAGTCCAAGAAACAAGGTTAGCCTTAGCATGGATAGAAAATGAGACACAATCCACCCTATATGTTGGAATATGCAGTAGACTAGCAGCCAGGAGAGCCCCAGATTTTAGTTTTGAGACCTTTCTATAAGATGCAGGAATCCCCTCCAGACGATTCCTCAAGTTGTAGATGCAATGGCTATCTACTTGAACATTGAACAGAACTTTATTTGAACATTGCTAGACATAGGGAATTCTGCCTCACAAAGCAACCCATTCCTTTGTTAGATAGTTCTGTTAGGAAATTTTTGCTTACATGCACTTAAAAATCTACCCTTAGGTTTTATCTGAAAGGAACAAGTCTATTCCCTCTTCCAGATGATGGCCTTTCAAATATTTGGAGACGGCGCTCACATTTCCTCCAAGTCCCCTCTCCTCCAGGCTAAATGGTATCATAGGATTTAGAGTTTGAAGAGGCCTTCAAAGAGAAACTGTGATCCCTGAGAATCACATATTGACTTTAAAAACCACAAATTCCTGTTATAAATATTGTATCGTATTTTTATTTATTTTGTTAAACATTTCCCAATTACATGTGAATCTGGTTGGACCAAACACAGTAGTTTTTTGCAGGTTTGCAGTTTGTAGCAGTGAGCCTGACACTTCTGATTCAGTCCAACTCTCTCATTTTATTTTATTTGTTTTTAAACTCATTTTATTGTTCTTGTGTCTACATATAAATATCACCATCATTCCCTATCCATTTCCACCTCCCGCTGATTGAGCCCTCCTTTGTGAAAAAAATATATATAATTAAGCAAAAACAACTATGACAGAAATCATGTCTGACAACCCACACAAACAAAAGCTATTTGGGATCCTGAATGGTTTTATAAGTCTAAAAGGGGTCCTGAAACCAAAAAATTTGAGAACTGTTGCCCTAGCTAAATCCAAGCTACCTTCTCTCAAAACAAAGCAAGGAAACTGAACTGAAAAACGGAAAATATGCAATGGTCTCTCCTATTCCACTTCTCTGCCATAAGGTAAAAGGTTTGTGTTCATCCAGGTCCTTCACTGGTTTTTTTCCATTACTTAGAGTTCAACTTCATTTTGGTGATATTTTTTTTTCATTCACATTATCGTATTCATTGAATATATTGTTCTATTTATGCTTCTTGCATCAGTTCATACAATCTTCCTTTGTTTCTCTAAATTCTTTGTCATCTTCATTTCTTATTGCACAATGATATCCCATTATGTTCATATCCCATAATTTTTTCAACTATTCTCCCAATACTCTCATATTACAGATGAGGAAACTGAGGTTCAGTAGGGAAACAGAGATTATATATGTAGTAAGTAGCCAAGCTGATATTTGAACCTAGTTGCTCCGATTCCAAATACAATGCTCTTTCCCTATACCCCATACCAACAGCTCATGTTTTCATGGCACCTGCTGGTTCATAAAGCACTTTGCTCACAACAACCCTGTGAGATAATACTGCAAATATTATTATTACCATTTTATAGATAGACAAACTAAAGCTGAGAGAAGTAAAGGGATTTACTCAGGGTTTAAAAGCTAGTTAGTGTTCGGGCTGGGTCCTCATGCTCCTAGTCCAGTCAATAGTCTTTCTTGATCATACTGCACTGTGTACTAGGGGAAAGAAACTCAGATGTAGCCTCATCATGATATAAATTAACCCAAAGTGAAATAAACCCAATCAATCCAGTAGGGCTAGTTGATGGTAATGTTTGTTTCCCATGCACCAAAATACTGCAATTCAATTAAACTTCATCTTTTATTTACTTTTCTATTTCAGTTTTCTTGCTCAGGAGTTTTGAGAGAAAGTGACTTGGATTTAGCCAGGATGGCAGTTCTCAAACTTTTTGGTCTCAGGACTTCTTTACACTCTAAAATGTTATTGAGGATCTCAAATAACTTTTGTTTATGTGGCTTATATGTATCAATATGGCATCAGAAAATTAAAACAGTTAAATTTTAATATATTTATTAATTCCAAAATAATAATAAACCCATTACATGTTAACATAAATAACATTTTATGGAAAATATATTTTCCAAAGCAAAAAAAAAATTAGTAAAAAAAAGTGGTATTATTTTACATCTTTTTGCAAATCTAATGTCTAGTTTAATAGAAGACAGCTGGATTCCCCTATCTGTTTTTGTATTCAATCTGTTGCAATGTATTGTTTTAGTTCCAGCATAGGAAAAAAATCTAACCTCATACAAATACGTAGTTGAAAAGGGAAAGAGGATTTTAATCAGCAAATAATGTCTTAGTATTTTGATGAACGTAGTTTTTTTTGTTTAGTATTTTATTTTATTTTCCCCAGTTACAAGTAAAAACAATACATTCATTTTAAAACTTTGAGTTACAAATTCTCTCCCTTGCTTCCTCCACACCACACCCCACCCCACCCCCACTGAGAAGGCAAACAATTCGATAATACATGTGCAGTCAGGGAAAAATATATCCATAATAGTCATGTTGTGAAAGAAAACATAGACCAAAAAGAAACTCAAGAAAAATAAAGTTAAAAAAAGAGTTTGCTTCAATCTGTATTCAGATGCCCTCCTCAACATAATTTTAATTAAATAACTAATAAAATAATATAACAAAAGAGGAGAAAAGTACCATCACTTCTTTCTCTAGGGATAGATAAGCATTTGTCATCCAAAGTCCTTCAGAGTTGTCTTGGATCACTGTATTGCTAGGAATAGCTAAGTCATTCACGGCTGGTCATCTTACAAATACTGCTGTTACTTTGTACACAGGACATTCATTTTGCATCAGCCCATGCTAGTCTTTCCAGGTTTTTCTGAGAGCATCCTGCTCATCATTTCTTATAGTACAATAGTATTCCATCATCATCACATACTTGTTCAGCCATTCCCCAATTGATAGGCATCTCCTCAATTTCTAGTTCTTTGCCCCCGGAAAAAAGCTGCTACAAATATTTTTGTACATATAGGTCCTTTTCCATTTTGTTTTTGTTTTTTTATCTCTTTTGGAATACAGAGCTAATAGTGGTATTGCTAGCTCAAAGGGTATGCATGCTTTCATAGCCCTTTGGGCATAGTTCCAAATTGCTCTACAGAATGGTTGAATTGGGGTGAACATAGTTTCGACCTTACAGACCCCCTAAAAGGAACTTGGGAACCTACAGAAGCCTGGGGATGATACTTTGAGAACTGCTGAACTAGGGAGTTCAACTTATGTGCTTTGGGCTCCCTCTAAAGTAGTAACGAGTTATCTCTTAACTTAGTTAAAAACAGATCCCACATAGATACTCTGTATACATCCCATTTCCAAATTCAAACTCTGGTTCAAAACATATCAGTATCACTTCTGTTGAAGTTCAATATTCAGTAGATCGTAAGTGTGCTTTTTATGTCTTGATCAATCCAAAACAATAAATTTGCTCCTTTAAATAGAAGGCATCCTCAGGACCTACAAATGATGCTTCTAAGGCATAGTTTTGAGTCAGCTTCCCACTCTAGGCACCATTCTCAGGATACATTCTAGCTATTCAACGAGCTTAGAGAATGTAGTGGCCACAACTAGATACAGTATCCCAAGTGTGGTTGGACCATATGTGGTTGGGTAGAGGGAATGTACACACGGCAAATCACTAATACCAGGCAAAAAAATATGGAAAATAAGTATAAGTTAATACAAACATAGCTCTTCACAATCTGCAAAGAGCTTTCCTCCCAACAACCGTGTGGGTAGGCAGTGTAATTGTTATTATATCCAGTAGATGAGAAAACTGATGTTCAAAAAGAGGTTGCACCTAACAAGATCACAAAGCTAGGTATTAAAGCCTGAACTCAATCACCAGGTCTTCTAGTCAAGCACTTTTTCCATTAGACCACAGTATCACTGAAGAAGACAAGAGAAGGGAGAAGTCACTGTGGACAAAAGCATCAGCAAAGAGAGTGACGATAACAATTCATTTTTATTTAGAGCTTTTTCTAGGGAGCCAAGCATTGTCTCTCTCCTTTATGGCAGAGTCAAGATTGCAAAACAAATCTGTCAGAGCTTGGGCAAGTCATTAATGCTTTCTAGACCTCTGTTCCCTGCCTGTAAAAAGGAAAGAACTGGGCTAGACCGTCTCTAAGATCCCTTCTAGCTCAGTCATTATGTAATACAACTCTCTCCTTTCTCTGTGTCAGTGTTTCAGATACAGTATCTCTCCCTGCCGTTAGGGGCATTGCTCCTTTTACTACACTATGACGCCTCCTAGTGGACGATAGGAGATTTGACCTGGAACTTAAAAGACAAGGGGGGTGGGGAGGAGGGAAGGAGACACATGTTCTATACAGGAAAAATAGCATAAGCAAAGACTGGAAAAGGGAATGACCATGACATGTTCAGGGATTAGTGAGAGGTCTGGATGGAGTGGAAGGGTGTCCTAAGGGAATAAAAGCAAAAAGGTTTGGAATAGTAGGCAGGGGTCTTAAATACTAAACCAAGGAGTTTGGATTTTAACCTGTAGGCAGAATGAAACCACAGAGAATTTTGGAGCATGTCCCTAAGGCCCCTTCCAGTTCGGACATTCTATGATTCTGTAACAAAGCACGCTCTTCCTCCTCCTCCTCCTCCTCCTTCTTCTCTCTCCCTCTCTCTCTCTCTCTCTCTCTCTCTCTCTCTCTCTTCTCTCTCTCTCTCTCTCTCTCTCTCTCTCTCCCTCCTCTCCATCTCCCCTGTCTCTCCCCACCCCAGCTGCCCACCCATTTCCATTTTCCCCCTATGTCTTGTTCCCTGCACTTTGATGCCTGTCCTCTGGCTAGTGACTCAATCTTCCTTATCTGTCCACTCCTTGTCTTTGTGTCTCTCCTGTCTTAGTTTTTCCCCTCTTCCATCTAACCAGCCACAACTTAGCATCAAAATTTCTATGCCTGTGCTGCAGGGATGAAAGAAATGGAGGCAACACGGAGAACTCTTCTGGAACAACCACAAAAGAACCCTCAAGGAGTAGGTGGAAAGGCAAGCAAGTAAAGGCACTGCCTCCCACTCCCTGTGCTAGCTTGGCTAAGTCCCTGAGCCCCACTAGACCACTGTTTCCCCACCTGCAAAAAGTAAGAGGCTCCACTGGACAGTCTCCCAAGTCCCTTCTAAGTGGATCATTGCATGACTTGGTGAGACAGTTCTTGCCTATCTCTCTTCCCACTCCATCTCCTCCTTCCTTGGTCTCAAGCTTCTGTCTTCTTCCTTCCTGCTCCCCACTCTGTCTAGAACACCACAGCCTTTTTTTAAAGTTACTCTGCCCATGCTGCAACAATGAAGAAACTCTGACATCTCCATCAACAGATCTCTCCCAGAAATGAAAACATCAAAAACAGGTAGGTGGAAAAAACAGGCAGTGCTATTCATTCTCTATGGCATGTTGGGACAAGTCCCTGAGACTCTCTGGACTTCTATTTCCCTACTTCTTAAATGGCAAGACTAATTTTTTGTTGTTGTTCAGTTGTTTCGGTTATATCTGACTCTCTGTGCCCCCATTTGGGGTTTTCTTGGCAGAGATACTGGAGTGGTTTGACATTTCCCTCTCCAGCTCATTTTACAGGTGAGGAAATTGAGGCAAACAGGGTTAAGTGATTTGCCCAGGGTCACATAGCTAGTAAACGTCTGAGGCTAGATTTGAACTCAAGAAGATGAGTCTTCCTGACTCTAGGCCTGGCACTTTATTCACTATACCACCTAGCTGCCCTGGAACTGAATTAGGTGGTCTCTAATTACATGATTAGATTAATTAGTTAGGGTGCTACAATAGAGTGCTAGACTTAGAGTCAGGAAGACCTGGGTTCAGATCCTGCAACTGACACTTATTAGCTATGTAACCCTGAGAAAAGCACTCTCTCAGTCTCAATTTCCTTATCTATAAAGTGAGGCTAATAATAGCACCAGTCTCACAGGGCTGTAGTAAGGATCAAGTGAGATACCATATGTAAAGTGCTTTGCAAATCTTAAAGTACTATATGAACTATCATCATTAGTTTTATTATCTCTAAGGTCCCTTCTGGCTCTGACATTCTAGGGCTTACTGTGTGACCCAAGACCAGTCACGGAGCAGCTTTTGTCAGTTTCCCCACCTATAAAATGAGGGCATTATATTAGACAATCTCTAGATTTTCTCCTGGCTTTTACAATCTATGATTTTATGATTTCCCAACTCATTGTGTGACCTTGAGAAAGTCACTAGTTTTTTTCCTGGGTCTGAGTTTCCCCATCTACAAAATTAGAAGCTGGACTAAATGACTTCTAAAGGCCCTTCCAGCTTTTAGGATGCTTCTGAAAACAGGCCCTTCAGATATTATTCCAAGGGTTCTCTTCTCTGTTCCTGGAATTTGTTTTTCTCGTGTTCTTAGAGCCTCAGATAAAGCCCTGCACCAAAATGCAGCATTAATGATTAGTGAAAGGTCATGTCTACTTAGGCTTTAAGGTTTACAAAACCCTTCCCTTAAAAGAACCCTGTGCACCTGAACTTATCATTATGCCCATTTTATAGATGAGAAAATTATGGCTCAGAGAGATGATAATGGTATATGATGGAAGAGGGAAAGCACCAGCTTCAGGAATCAGCAGATGGATGTTCTTATCCTGGTTTTGCAACTTATTACCTGTGTGTGACCTTGGGAGGAGAAATGTCAAGGCCTAAGTTTCCTCCTCATAGGATGATGGATCTAGAAAGTTGGTAAAGGCCTCAGGAGCTTTCTGATTCAACTGCCCCATGAATGGATAGTAAACTCAAACTACAGATGAGGAAACTTAAGCCAACATAGAGGTTAAGGGATCTTCCCAAGGTCACACTTAAAGTGGGGCTTGAATCCAGTCTCTCTGACTATACAATCAGCACCCTTTCCACTGAATGATGCTGCTGAGATTTCTAAGATCTCTTCTGACTCCCCTACTCTATGAGTCTAGAGACTAGGGGAGATTCTGTAAGATTTTTGCTGTCACACAAATATTAAGTTATCAATCATAGACCCATTGCTGGAAAGGAGCTGGGAGAACATCTAGTCCAACCCCTTCCCCACCCAACCCTATTTTACAGATGAGGAATCTGAGAGCCAGGACAATTCCGCTGTAACCTTGCCCAAGATCACAGAGGCAATTAGCATCAGATGCAAGTTCTCTGACATCTGAGCCAGGGTGCCTTCAACTCTACCATGCCACCTCCTCAGTGTCAGGGTTAGAACCCAAACACTGTTTTCTTGACTCCTAAGTCCAACAATTTTCTCACTGGACCTCTCTGCTTCTCAAGCCCAGGTCAGGTGCTGTCACTCAATATCTTTTGTTCATGCTGAGGAATTCATTTAAAAGAGACACTCCCTTTTCCTTCCTTATAATTTGTTTGCTAATTTTTCTTTTAGAAAGGACCTATATTTCATTAGGAGCAGCTAGGTGGTGCAGCGGGATAGAGTTCCAGGCCTAGACTCCAGAAGACTTATCTTCCTGAGTTCAAATCTGGCCTCAGACGTTTACTAACTGGGTGGCCCCAGGCAAGTCACTTAATCCTGTTTGCCTCAGTTTCCTCATCTGTAAAATGAACTGGAAAAGGAAATGGCAAACCACTCCAGTATCTCTGCCCAAAAGAAAAAAACAACCTGAACAACCAAAAAGAAAAATTATTTCACTGGTACTCCCAGTGTGGAAATGCCTTCTGCCAACACAAACCAGCTCTGCAACTTACAGCCTCAGAGAGCTGCCTAGGTCACTAGGAGGTTACATGATCTGACCAGGGTTACACAATCAGTACTCATCAGAAGGACTTGAACCCAGGTCTTTCAGACTGTCAGGACCAATCTCTACCCACTAGACCACACTGACTCTTGTCTGTTATTTTATTTATGCTTTATAGCCCCATTTACTTTTCTATAAGATTCAAATTAGACCCTCTCTTCTTACCCCTTTCTGAATCAAAGCAATGCAATATAGTAGAAGAGGGACTTGCGTTCAAATTCTAGTTCTGACATCCTCACTAGCATGGCCTCAAGTAAATCATTTCCCCTCTCTCTAGGGCTCTGTTTCCTCATATGAAAAATGAGGGGGATGTACTAGATGACCTCTAAGGCACATTATCAGCTCTAAATCTATGTTCCTATGATCAAGTCTCACCGGCTAAATAAACATTATAGTTTTGTTTGGATAGCTGTTTACACTTTCTTAGGTTTATCACATCAGACCAATCTGTATGCCCATCCTCAGCCCTGGCCAGACCAGTAAATGGTATTAAATGGATTGGAACTTGCCTACTTTACTCATCTTATCATCTAAAAGAAGAGTTCCTTGGGGGACTAAGTGCGAAGGAATTTTAATTCATTCATCCACTCTATCAACTAGTATTTATTAAGTATCTACTGTATGCCAGCCACTGTCCTAAGCACTGGGGACACAAGGAAAGACAAATTCAACAAAGTTACACTCATCTTCTGTGTGGAATCATTAGATTGTAAGCTTGTGTAAGCCTGCGGAGTCATTAGATTATAAGTTTGTATAAGCCTGTGGAATCATTAGATTGTAAGCCTGTGTGAGCCTGTGGAATCATTAGATTGCCACCCTTGAGGGTAGGGACTGTCTTTCTTTTTATTAATTGTATCCCCAGCACTTAGCACAGTCCCTGGCATATAGCAGGTACTTAATAAATGTTTATTGGATTATTGGAAGAGCCCTGTGCTTATGGATGGGAGATATATAAAAATTTAAATATGGCAAGGTCCCTGCCCTTATGGAGTTTAAACTAGAACAGAGAGATAAGACATGCACACATCCAACAATAATAAACAATATTATACAAGCATTTATTAAATATTTACCATGTGCAAAACAAGAGGCATTTTGGTATAATGGGGTAGAGGGCCAGCCTTAGAATCAGTTAAGGGGGCAGCTAGGTGGCACAGTGGATAGAGCACCGGCCCTGAAGTCAGGAGGACCCGAGTTCAAATCCAGCCTCAGACCAAACACTTGACACTTAGTAGCTGTGTGACCCTGGGCAAGTCACTTAACTCCAATTGCCTAAAAAAAAAAAAAAGAATCAGTTAAGACTTGAGTTCAAATCCTGTCTCTAACAGATACCAGGGGCAAACCAGTTAATGACTCAGGCAGCTCTTAGTTACAGACTAGTTAGCCCTCTGCATCTGTGACAGCTGTTTCCAGTGCTAGTGAGGATAACTATCTCCCCCCAAAAAACAAAATGTGAAAGACTCTGTGCTAAATACTGGGGGGTGGGGTGGGGTGCAAAGAAAATAAATGAAATAGTACCTTCAAGAAGCTTATATTTTCCTGGGAGGCAAGATAGGATCCAGGAAGACAACTAAAATACATACACTAGTAAATACATTATTAATAAGTAATAAGTTTCTAATCAAGCTGTCCAAGAATATTAAGGAAGGAGAGAATCCTTTCACCTGGGAAAGGGAAGACAAAATGAGAGGTGGCACCTGTGCCGAGCTTTGAAAGAATTGCTTTCTGCACATCAGGTGTCACAGCTTATGTAAAGACACAGAGGTAGGAACATAACTAATAGGGGAGGGAAAGGAATGAGCATTTATGCAGCACTTACTGTGTTCCAGGCACTACACTAAGCACTTTGCAAATATCATCTCATTTGAGCCTCGTAACAACCCCAGGAGGTAGGTAGGTACTGTTATTATCTCCATTCTACAGCTGGGGAAACTGAAGCAGAAGTTAAGTGACTTGCCTAGGGTCACACAGATATCTTAGGTTGACTTTAAACTCAAGTCTTCCTGTCTCCAGGTCCAGTACTCTATCCACTGCCCCATCTAGTTTGGTACAACTAGAAAGGGGGGAGTAGCATGAAATAAGGTTGCAAAGGCAAATTAGGGTCAGATTGTGGAAGGTCTTCAATGTCAAACTAAGGAGTCCACACTTTAGCCTGGAGGCAGTGAGGAGCCTTGAAGGTTTCTGAGCAGGAGACTGGCATGGTTAGATCTGTTTCCCAGCACTGTACACCTAATAGATGGATGCTAGTGGAAAAGGGATATCAGAGGTATCACCGTAGCCATGACACTTTATGCTTTAAGGGCCTGCTGGCAACAGGAGAATAAAGTGGCTTCTACAGCCAGTGTTTTAAAAGATCTGAGGCTCATCCAAACAATGGGGCTATGATTTAGCTAGGAAAGAAAAAAAGAAAGAGACAGAGAAAAGAGAGACAGACAGACAGAGAGAGGAAGAAAGAAAGAAAGAAAGAAAGAAAGAAAGAAAGAAAGAAAGAAAGAAAGAAAGAAGAAAGAAAGAAAGAAAGAAAGAAGAAAGAAAAGAAAGAAGAAGAAAGAAAGGAAGGAAGGAAGGAAGGAAGGAAGGAAGGAAGGAAGGAAGGAAG